CACACATCTTTCCTTGATTCCACCCGCAAAGCCAGCAAATGGGTTCGACCTTCGGGTTCTTGGCAGTAATGAATATGTGCACCATCACTGGTGTGCTAGCTTGGTGGTGGTGGTGGGGGTCTCCTAAGATTTATCCAGTTCCATTCAAAGGCCCTGTTCCTTACCTACTGATGGCTATCTAGAGTTAGAGCAGCTGCTGCTCACATTCCAGACACCCAGGGTATGCAGGAACTAGCTCATATGTTCAGGAATTTCAATGGCCCGTTATGAAACTGTTGGTAATTTGAAATAGGTGGATAGTGGGAGTTTTCGTTCCGTTGGAATTGAACAACCATCACAAATCAGAGTTTTTATTTCCTCAGAGCCAGATCATCAATTTGTCCCTGCATGAACCCTCCTTACTTGCTAGAGGTTGTCCAAGTGAAGTGTCACCAAACAAGACCCCCAGGCTGCTGGGCAGGGCGTAGGATGCAGGTTGGAATTGGAGTGGAGGGCTTCTTACTTCCTCTGTAGACAAGGAGTCCCTGTGTTGTTTTTCCTTTTTGTCCTCATTAAATTTTATTTTTCTCTTGATTGCCTTAATTTATGTTTATGACCCGCCATGTATTTCTTGTTTGAATAACCCTGTAATTGTTTTCTTTTGCATTTTGATTGGAGTCTCCTTCGGGAAAGGTGATGTGTTTTATAATAGAAACATTTCAGGGATGTCATACCACAATTAAAGCTCACACACGCTGGGGAGAATTGTGGGATGCCAAGAATGACATGTTTTGGCTTGTCGGATGTTAGCTGACACTAAAGGAAGGAACTGAAAGGTCGCAATGAGTCTGAGGCATTTGTTTTCTGAGGACTGAAAGGGAGCCTCTGTGAGGCCGAGAGGCCCAGATCACTTCTGTTTCTCGTAAGTTCTTTCATCCTTCCCTTTAATTGTGTTGGAAGTTCTAACTAATTTGCCCAGCCCGGGTGTCAGCTCACTCTACAGTGCACACAGGCCTTGAACCTGCCATCTTCCATCCTTGGCTTGCTGAATGTCTGGGATTATAGGATGTACCACCAGGCTATTGTTTTAAATTTCTTTTTTAATTTTTTTTCAAAATTTCATAAATGAGTATTGTATTTATATAATTTTCATTTCTCCCTCACTCCTATACAACTCCTCCCTCTTCCCTTTAAAATTCATGACCTTTTAAACTATTTTTGCACACTCATACACACACACACATCTATAGATATAAATATAGTCTGCTAGGCCCTTGTAGTGTTGCTAGCATGTGCATTTGTTTAGGACTGACCACTTGGGATCAGATAATCTATCAGGGTTCTCATCCCTGGAGAGAACTGATTTCCCCTCTAATGCTGTGTCACTTTTCATCTAGAGCTGGGGCCTGGTGAGATCCCCCCATCCATGCTGGCATGCCAGTTGATGGTATCGTTCTCCAGGTTTTGTTTAGGTGACCACGTTTGTGAGGTTTCCTGGGTGCAGCCTTCCTGTTATATAAAGAAAGCACTATCTCCCAGCAGGTGTCCTGGTCCTCTGGCTCTTACAGTCTTCTCTCCTCCTCTTCTGTGATGCTCCCTGACCCTTGAGTGTAGGGGTTGTGTTGTAGATGTATCCATTAGGGTTGAGCACCCGATGGTCCGGTTGTTCTCTGCATTTTGATCAACTATGGATTTTTGTTATGGCCTCTGCTGCCAAAGGAAGCTTCTTTAATGAGCAGTGAGATCTGCACTTGTCCATGGATGTAAGGATAAATATTGAGAATAAAATGTTAGTTTAGGAAAGTGGCAATAGTGGTTTCTCATCTAGGGTCCACGACTCTTGAACCATTTGTCACAGGCTAGGTTTAGAGTGCCGGGTGTGAATTCCCTCCTGTTGAATGGGCCTGAAGTTCAATTAGACAGATGTTTATTATTCCCAAGTTAAAAATGCCACGATTGCACCATTGGGGACATCTTGCCATCTGACCATTGTGTGGGCCACGGGCTTTACAGCTGGGTAGGACTACCGATTGTTTTTTCTCCCCCAGCAGTTTGCACAGAACCTTTGACACTGAGAGCCGGTTCAGGGAGGAGGCGTCCAGGTCAGCTCCATGTGTAGTCCTCCAAGTCATGAGGTTGAAGTGTGTGATGTCTTCAGCCACAGGGACTTATCTTCAAGTTCTGAGAGGCAAGCAAGGGCAGTGGCAATAGTCCAAATTGTTTGGGGAGTCACTTGGACTCCCCTGTCCAACAACTCAAAGGGAGGTTTACCATGCCTGGCACTAGAGTTTTTGTTAGATTGTCCATGGCTCTTAGGGAGAGAATTATCACTGCAGTGTTAAATTTCATATAAATTGTGTCTATATGTGCACACATATATTTATGTGTATTTTTAAGTAAACATAAAGTAATATGATCCCCTATGACTTTTCCCAACATCCTTAGTGCTATTTATTCCTCATCCATTTCCTTCCCTCTGTATTATCCTCCCTACCCCCTTCCCAGGCAAATACCATTCGTCTTTCCATTTCTCCCTTCATAACACGTGTTTGCTACTCTCCGTCTCTCTAGAGCTCCTCCACTCACCACACAGTCCTTTTTTACTTTCTTGTTTCTGAGGTTTTCCCAGGTTATATACTCACAGCTAAAGATTCAGATCCACAAATAAGAGACAAATCCACAAATAAGAGACACATGGCATTTATCTTTTTGGGTCTGGACTAACATAGTATAATGTATTCTAGTTCTACCCATTTACCTTCAAATTTCTTGATCTCCTTTTCTTTACAGCTGGATATAATTCCGTAGTATATGTGTATCAAATTTCTGTTATCCATTCATCAGTTGATGGATATGTAGCTTGTTTCCATTTCCCAGCTATTGAAGGAGCCAATGCGTTTGACTCACCCAAGTATGGATGTTGAGTCCTTTTGGCATATGCTAAGAAGTGGTATGGCTAGGTTGTATGGTAGAGTCACTTTTAGCTTTCTGTGAACTCTCCACACTGATTTCCTTAATGGCTGCAGGAACTCGCAATCCCACCAACTGTGAAGGAGAGAGCATCTCTTTCCGAATCCTCATCAGCATTGTGTCTGTTGCTGTCTTAATCCTAGTCACCATCACTGGGCTAAAATGAAATCTCAAAGCAGTTGTCATTTGCATTTCTCTTATTGCTAGGGATGTTGATCACATTTAAAAATATTCCTTAGCAATTTTTATTTATTCTTTTGAGAATTCTCTGTTCAGATCCGTAGCCCATTTTTTTCACTTGGTCATTTGTTTTCTTGACTCTGTTTTTTTTTTTTTTTTTGAGTTCTTTATATATTCTTGATATTAATCTTCCATCAGATGCATAGACGGCAAAGATTGCCTCCTACTCTGTGGGATTCTTTTTCGTTTGATTGATTGTTTCCTTTGCTATATGGAAGCTTGTTAGTTTGATGAGGTCCCATTTTCTCTTGTTGACCTCAATTCGGTGAACATGTATATTAGCTGTTTTTCTAAAGAGGAACTTGTTCCTAACTTGAAAACCTGCTCTGGGTTACCCTTTCTAGACTTTTTGATTCTCAGACATTATCAATAGACTTTTGTCTAGTTTCTCAGTACAAAGGTAAGGAGTAGATGCACTTGAGTCCTAGCCAGAGGCATAGGGAGCTGTGGGGAGTAGACATGCACTGGCCTTCAAGGTCTGCTCATAAAGAGAACAGAATCCTGAGTGAAAGAGAATCTAAGCCCATCAAATTCTGCATTCTTTTCTTTTAAGTGGCCACACAGGGAAATGAAGGGATTCCACTTGGTGTGGACAAGCTCACTAATAAGATGATGCCTGTTTCCCTCAGTTCTGAGCATGTGCAACAACAGCAGCCCCAGTACTGAGCATGGGATGGATTAGTTTGAATTCTTAGCATGCTGGGGTTTAGGGTCTGTGTATAATTTCAGAGGAAGAGGGAGGGAGAGGGAGAGAGAGGGAGGGAAAAGGAGGGAGGGAAATGAGAGGAGAGGAGAAGAGAAGAGAAGAGAAGAGGGGGAGAGAGAGAGAGAGAGAGAGAGAGAGAGAGAGAGAGAGAGAGAGAGAGAGAGAGAGAGTTCTTTGAGTCTCTTCCATTTAACTTGTTTATAAAAAAAATCCAAGAGAATTATTTTCCAGACCATGGGTGGGGAGAGCTGGTATGTTTAGTAGCAATCCCATAAACAAATGAAGAAGCTATTTGCAACAGGAGTAGGCTGAGCAAAATCAAAATCAGTTTTGTGAGTGGAAGGAACGATTACTTTCGGGGCCAGCTGCAGCAGAAACATTTTGCCCCTTCCTGAGCTGACTTCTCTCTCCCACGGAGAATATTACTTATCTTTCCTGGTAACACTTAAAAATCTTCTCATTTCAAACTCAACTAGAATGTCTAGAAATTGACACGTTAGGGCTGCGCAGTTCTCTTGGGAGTTCAGATCCCCTTGAAGAAGCACAGGAGGGAAAGATAAGGAGGAATGACAGCTTTCATTTCCATGGAACAAGCACACCCCAGGAGCGTGCACTAAAACTGCACCTTGTAAAAAAAAAATCTCGGTGATTTTGAATCTTTGGTATCTCATTAATATGATCAGTTGGAGGAACTATGTGGAGACTATTAAGCCTACATATGTTCTAAAAATGATTGTTTCCTCCCATTATTCTTTAGTGCAGGGACTGGCAAACTTTATTTGAAAATGAAAATGAGTTGGGACAGAGATAAGCCCAGAATGTGATGAACATTCAATGGCTGATCCTTTAAGATACTCTGCACTATTGTTGGCCAGAGGACCCATCTCCTCTGCCCTCCTGAATATTGTACAACACATTGTCATAGGCAGGACTAACTTTGTACAAAAGGGTGTGTTCGGCAGACATTTCTACCTGAAATTTGTCTTGCTCAGGACATTGGGAGGAGGTGGGCTGCAGCAACAATGTTTGGTGTGAACATTTGACTTGTAGTTGACTAAACCATGTATAAGGACTGGGTGGAGGATGGAGAGGGAAGTAGCAGAAGCTTATATAGCAGAGTAGCCCAAGCAGTCCTTCCCTGAGTGCTGAAGACACAGCAAGGATGTCAGGGAAGAGAAGGAGCTGTCGCCTGCCCAGGTTCTTGTGAAAATCGCCATCCATTTCTGCCTCTTGCAGAAAACATCCTCAATCGGTGACTTCTCCCTGTGATTTGTCTTTACTGGTAGTTGATGAATTTCAAGGTAGTTTTGTTTGTTTGTTTGCATTTGTTCCCCACACCCCTTTGTCAGCTTCTCATAGTTGGATGGGATCATGTGGTTCTGAAGCAGGAGCAACTGAGGCACTGTGGTGATTGGCGTTCACGTTCCACTTGACTGGGCTTGGAATCACCTGGGAGACACACCGCTGACCATATTTGCTAGGGTTTTTCCAGAGAGGTTTAACTGAGAAGGGGACATCCACCCTGAATGTGGGTACCATTATCCTATGGACAGTGCCCCAGCATGAATAAAAAAGGAAAAAGGGGGAAAAATTGAAGGCCACTAAGTACAAGCATTTAAAGCTCTCTGCTCTCTGTCTGACTGTAGATATGATGTGACCAGCTACTGTACATGCCCCATGCTACACTTCCTTGCTGTGTACATCCTAAAACGGAGCCAGTATGAGCCTTCTTCCCTTCAGTTGCTTTTATCAGGCATTTTCCACGGCAACAAGAAAAATAATGAGTGCAGGCACCCAATTAGGTCTTCTGGAATAACTACTTCTTGGTAATAAATATATAGATCTGTCCTGTAAGATACCAAGGTTTAGATTTAACATTAAGATGTTGTAAATCTAACCATTTAATGATATACCAGACCCAACAATATGTGCTGTGTTTTTAACAGAATACAAAATAATAAATGGTAGAGGGAGAGATTACTTGACTATCATTTCACTAGAGGTCTTTGCTGTATTTTTTTTCCCTCTGAGTAGGCATGTAACCTCTTCTTTAACCAATCAGGAAATTCAGGAAACAGCCATTTAGAAACACAGTAGCTCATGTTAGCCCTGGGGTTCATCTGGGAGGAGAAAGGAAATAATTCACCGGGGGTGGGGGGAGGTTGCAGGCCCACCCAGCATCCTGCCTACTGGTACTTAGTCCAACACTTTGCTCATTGAACCCTGTGCAATTGCATGTTAGGCCCATCAACATGGAATATGAGTTGGAGAGCTGCTTGTATGAGGGTATGATGTCACAGAATATTTAGTCCACAAATGTGGCATTTCTATATGCAGAGCAAGGAAGGGAGAAACCTGGGAACTTTAACCAATATATTGTTTATTTTTGACTATCTGACTTCACAGAAATGTAATGATTTCTATCCTGTTGTTTTTGTTTCACACTAAGTCCTTGAACATCTTATTGTTGTGGGAATTTCTTTTGGCTCTATATCTGTAGTTACTTATTTATGAGGTTGGACTTTTGATCTTATGAAATACTCCTACTCATATTGTACCTGTCTTCTGATATAAGAACTTCTTCAGGGTGTGAACCTGGAAGAACATGTTGAATGAAGGGAGGAAGCATCTTCAAAATTATTAGGTTGAAGTTAAGTTCCTATTTGTTGGGCCACATGTGCTTAAAGTTATGTTAACACAATCTAGTTGAATTAAATACATACTCATACACAGAATTACCATCACTGAACCATAATAGTCTCTTTGTCTATGTATCATTCATCCATCCATCCATCCATCCATCCATCCATCCATCCATCCATCCTAATGAATATCATCCAAAGGAAGCTTAAAGTTTTACTAATTCCTTAGCAATTATTTTTGTGTTTACCTTTTGTTTACTATCCTCTACAGAAATAACTCTTACTTTGAACTGATGATATATTATTATTTTTACTTTAAAAATCATTTTTACACCGTCCTTTCTATAATAGTGTACAGTATAGTATCTACTGGTTATCAATTACAGGCCAGGCATTCAGACAGGGCACATTAGAAGTGGTTTTTCTCTGCTCAACAATGTCTTCAAGGTGGTTTGAGGAATCATTTGAAGGCTTGACAGAAACTAGATGATTTACTTTGAAAGTGTTGAGTCATGTAGTTGGTGAGGTGGGACTGGCAAGTCCATTCCTCTCCATGTGGACTTCTCTGTCTCTGGGCTGCAGAGCCGTTGAGTATCCCCATGGCATTAAAGTCGAGTTACAGCGAAAATTTTAGCCATTTCTCCCTCTTAGCCTAGATTCTTCCTCAGGGTATAGCATGATGCAAGAAACAGCTTTAAATTAGTTTCTTGTTCTAAAAAGATAAAGGTGTTGAATCTGTAGAAAAAGAATGCCAAAAAAAATTATTCAGATAGAACAGTAGGTGCTAGACTCTAGGTATAATGCAGAAAGGGGGCACAGAGCTCCCCAAAGTCAACAAATCCCCACCAACTAATTAAGATCTTGGGTAACTAAGTAGAAAACACTGATTTTCCAGTGTGGAAGACTGAGTTCGGTTCCCTCATACAATGCCTTGTGTTTGAACCTAAGCACTGGGCCATGAGAAAGCAACAACGCATCTAGACCAGGAAGCTATAGAGAAATAAAAGCTAAGTGTGAATCCAGGGAGGTGAGGGCCTAGGAGGGAATGAGGAGGGCAGAGACTGCCATCTATTAGAACAGAGTCAAAGGGCCAGGCTTATTTAGCCTGGAAGGGAAAGGTCAGGAGGATGCTACCATAAAGAGTTTATGAGCCCTGAATTTCTAATGGACCATCCTTTGTAAGATGGGACAATCAATTTTGCATGTTAAATTAGTTAGATCAGAGTATGTATAGCACCCACTTTAAAAATGTTTTTGTGTATATAATTTTGGTATGATTAGCATTTAAATTGGTAGTTTTTGAATAAAGTGGGTTAGTCTCTATTATGTGAATGAGCCTCAAGCAATTCCTTGAAGGTCTTAAGGAAAAAAGCCTGAGGTTTCTGGAAAAGGGAAATCTGTCTCCTAACTAACTGCCTTTGCATGTCAGCAGCAACATCAAAGATACAACAGTCTTTTGGTCAGTTGACCTGCCCTGAAGATTTCAGATGTTCTAGCTTCCACAATCATGGTAGCCAACTCCTAAAAGTCAATTTCCTTCTCTCTCTCAATATACACACACATAACCTATTGGTTCTGTTTGGAAGAAACCCAGTTATTAAGAAAGACAATGTCATATAAGGAAGTCCTACTCTGCTTAATGAAAATTATACTTTTGTTTCCCACTTTTCAAGATTAGAGAAGCTATAAATTTACAAGAATTATACATTTATGCTTGATGTGGAAGGGCCTGAGAGGGTTTCTTTTTGCTTTAGGGCAGGACATGGGATAAGTTTTGTAATGAAGTATTTTTTTGGGATGATGTTCTAAGGGCTCATCAAAGATGGAATCTGTCTTACTAAAGCCTTTCTTTGGATCTCTGTCACAGTCAGCATCATGATCCAGAAGGATAGTTCTTCTCCTTTCATAGAGTTCTAACATCTGAAACATCTGATTTTTCATAACTGGGTATGGAAATCAACTCATAGGTGTGGAGACCAATCCATAGGAGTGGAGACCAACCCATAGGTGTGGAGATCAACCCATGGTTGTGAAGATCAACCCATAGGTGTGAAGATCAACCCATAGGTGTGAAGATCAACCCATAGGTGTGAAGATCAACCCATAGGTATGGAGACCAACCCATAGGTATGGAGATCAACCCATAGGTATGGAGATCAACCCATAGGTAAGTATAACACTTTGGGGTGATGACAGGGACTAGTGGAATGCTAGTAGTTGATAGTTTATACTTCGTCACTGAGTGGAGTAAGCACTCTGGCTCCTAGAAGTGGGTGGAGGTCACAGGGAATGATGCAGGCTCAAAAATTATTGCCAACAGCCAGTGACATTGGCTACCAGGTCTGAACTTTGGGTGAAATGAACATAGAGTGGGACAGAAAAGTCCAATGCACTCTACTAAATAACCTCTTCTTGACATGCAAGTCAATAATTTCCATTTAAAAAATGGATAAGAAGTTGTGCAAAATGGTGTCCACCTTTAAAGAACTCAAGAAGCAGAAGTAGATGGATATTTGTGAGTCAGAGACTCACCTGGTCTACACAGTGAGTTCCAGACCAGCCAGGGCTACATAGTGAGAACCTGCCTCAAAAAATATGAATAAGAACAGAATTCTATTATATATTTAACATGCAGCAACTAAAAACCACTGAGGACTTTGTCTTAGATTTCTAGCATCTATCTCTAAGGATAAAAAATAACATCATGTGGCTCTCTGAGTCAAAGATTCAGTGCATTCCAGTTCAATAAATTGAATTTCTCTAAATTATTTTGTGAGATGATTTGAGCCATAAGACTATACAGATGTAGGTGAGTTGACATTTAAACAGAATCTCTAAGTCCCAGGAGGGTAGGTATTGTGCCTGACACATAATTTAGCTATGTAAAACAATTGGGTTAATAAATTAGTAATATAAGAGTGCCTTGGGGTTTTCTTTCTATTTACAGTTTATGCATATTAGATAGAGCTGTTGAGCTTTTACATCTCAATTTGTTAATACCATGTAGTGGCTATTTAGCTCTGAGATCATATTCAGCATTGCTTAGTTTCTTCCTTGAAGGGGAAAAAAAAAAGACCCAAGTTGGTAATTTTGGCGGAAATGAGCATCTGGGGACATGGAATTGGATTCTTAATTGGTGGCTCTGAGAACATTCATGCTTGAATTCTTCTGGGGTGAGAGAGTATCGCCCTCAAGATCTTAAGAGTTCTTAAAAGGGAGGTATAGTATTTCAGAAACAACCCTTTCAAGCCTTAATGCCTTTCATCAAAGGCTTTTAAAGCACTTTGCCTTTTGCAGGGCCCATGCCTACCTCCTGCCCAGCTTACACACATGCCTCCCTCTGAGGTCAATGGAGGCCAACAGCCCTGAGAAAACACATGAATGCACCCAGTGAGCCTACAAGATAGCCATAGTTCACTCTTGCATGTGAGTGTGCAACTAAAACCATAGTGTAGGTGCAAATAAAACTAAACATGAGGTCCAAAGAAAATTGGTCACCAGATGAAGGGACCCGATGTATGACAATAGAACCTCTCAGAACGGAAGAGTGTGCCATTGGAGGTGGGGAATTCTTTGGAGAACTCAAGCACAGGTTGACTGACCACTTAGTGACCATGTTGAGATAGTTGTGCAAGCACACACACTTTGGCTCATGGACCCAACTTTGTGGACAATACGAGCCTTTACTCCAGCCTGGAAAGAGCTCAGTTGGTAAAGGGTTTTTGCCTTGTAAGCCCAGAGACCTGATTTTCATCCCAAGAAATCATGTAAAAATAAAAGAGCCATGCATGGTGGCACACGCTTGTAATACCAGTGCTGGAGAGGCAGAGACAGGAAGATCGCTGGGGCTTGCTGGCCAGCCAGCCTAGCTTACTTGGTGAGGTCCATGCTAGGACAGAGAGATCCTGTCCTAATTAAAAAAGAAAAATAAAGTGAATGGCACCTGAGGAACAATATCAGAGACGGTCCTACACATATGCATGCACACATACACATATGCATCCATACACAGATGTGCATACACATAAACACACACACACACACACACACACACACACACACACACACACACACACACACACAAAATAAAAACAAGCTCAAAAACTCCTGGCCCTTCTACCAAATCCTTCTCTTCATCTAAGAATGGGGCATCTGAACTCTTCGGTTCTCGGCTCTGGCCCTTGCCTACACATATCACTTCAGGGCAGTGAGGAAGAGGTAAGTGATTGCTGTGGCCGAAACTCTGGCTGGGATAATAAACAAATTCCAAAAGAGACTTCCCGAAAAGGCTCTGGGATGCAGGCACGTTTACCACTGGTCTTCCAGATGAGGACCTGGAGCCCCAAGGAGGTTGAATCACCAGAGATTTGGTTAGGTTCCCTGCTGTATGCATGTCATGGCAGAGCCCAGGCCTGGTAGATTTTATCGTGGTTAATCAAGTCATTAGCTGCTCGTGTTGAGTTTCCTTGGGGATCTGTGTCTGGATGTGTTTTCTTCAGAGGATGATTGTGATTGCTTAGTCTAGTGCGTGATTCTCAAACTGTAGCATGCATCAGAAGCCCCTGAGGCTTGTTGAGAGACAGACTGGGCCCCACCCTCCAAACTTCTGATTTAATTGATATTAGGTGCAGCTGGAGAGTTTGTCTTTTTAACAACATCTCCAGTGTATTAGTTTGCTAGTGCTGCTGTGACTAATGACCACAAACTTAGTGGCCTAAATCACTATACATTTACTAAATTTACGGAGGTCAGAAGTCCAAGATGGGTCTTACGGCATCATATTGGCAGAAATATGTTCCTGTCTGGAGGCTCTGGGAAATCTCTGTTTCCTTTAATATGGCAGGTTCTCGAGGCTGCCACATCCATCCTGTGGCTTCTGTCCCGGGATGCCACTTCCATCTTCAAAATCAGCAGCAATTGGCTAATTTGTTACAACAGCCCCAGAAAATAACCTGGAGACTTGCTAAGAAGGCGAAATCTCCAGCTTTCACCCAGAGCTATTGAGTCTGAAAACCTGAGAGGAGGCCACAGCACTTTCCTGCCTCTCTTGTTCTGACTTTTCTGCCTTCCCATTCACTTTTAGTGCCCTGAGACAGGATTTCATGTAGCCCAGGTTGGCCCTACACTCACCATGTAACCGAGGATCACCTTGAATTTCAGATCCTCCTGCCTTCATTTCCTGAGTATAGACTTATAGGCATGTGCCACCCTCCTTGTTTATATAGGGCTCGGGATCAAACTCAGGACTTTGTGCATGCTAGGCAAACACTATACCCACTGAGTAATATCCCCAGCCCTACTTCTTATTGTAAAATAAAATAACTAATAGCCTTAGTTATATATTCAAATTGTATTTTTTCCTTGCTGTGTAGTGTAATAAATAAAGCCGTAAGTCCCACAGTTGAGGAGGTGGGCACCTTAGGGACAGTATGACATTGATCTGCCTACTACAGCAGGCGATACCGTTGCTACATCTCAAGTCCTTGTTTCAAGAACCTCAGCTTCCAAGATCTGGAAGACAGTGCAGAGGAAGCAGGGTCAGGGGGAGAATTGCTGGTCAGTGCAAGTGGACAGGAGCTTGCATGCCTCATGGGGATAATGGGAACTTGGTGTGGTTTTAGCTTTAATCAAACTATCACGCAAAATGTGACCTTGTAAACTGTCAATACTAAGATGCCAGTGGACATCCAAACTGAAGGTTCTGATGAGTGTAGCGCATTGTCCTGGCTGCATTG